TGCAGACGTGAGCCTTGGCATGCTATGCGTTTCAATAGCCGTTTAATTTTTTGAATGATCGCAAGGGCAGGGGTTGAGCTTTCCAAACTGACAGTATTGTGTGGCATTCATTTGCTCTGTTTCTCTTTCCCGGAATGCACGTGCAACAACGTATTGCACGTCTCAAGGACGAACCCACTGACGTCACAGAACGTGGCACGTGCATGCATGTTGGATACATGTCACTAATCTCTGAGTTTAAATCCTTATGTGTCCACACAGGTTTGATAAGTTTAGATTTTTTGTATGCACAGTTTCTTTATGTGCTTAGTATATAAATATATAAGCCATAAGCAGGGATTCGAAACATGGACATTCTGATCTGAATTAAGGTTGAGTGAGTGAGTGAGTGAGTGACCGATGACATGTGTCAACCAAGTCAGCGAGCCTGACCACCCGATCCCATTATAGTCGCATCTTACAACAAGCATGGGTTACTGAAGGTCAATATTCTAACCTGGACCTTCACGGGTAAGATTTTTAGTCACATCGTCAGTATTTCAGCAATATAATGATGATCTGAAGTGAGAAGAAGTTTATCCCATCAGAAGCTGACACAGTATGGAAGTGATCAGTGGGATGTCACCATGCCTGCTACATACACAAGGATGAGAATGAAGGTCTGAGAAAAACTCTGATAACTAGCCGGGGGTATGGGGGCAACGGATTTAGACGATTCACAAAAATTACCCTTGGCCTTATGAAATTCCGCGGATCCGTGGAAAATTCTCATCCCTGCATACAGTATGTATTGAAAGATGGAGAATGAGTGGGAACATAGTAATTTGGCATTGCAACAAAAAAATAATTCGTGTAGAAATTTAACTAAAGACTCTTGCCAAGTGCTTCTATAATTCAAATGGACTTAAATGGAACCTCTAAGTCTAAACTTTTTTACAGTCCAGAGACAAGTTACATAATCTAACATATCTGGCATATTCGAGACCCGATGTTTATTATGCTTCTCAATGCTTTGTACCTTGCACTTATTGGAGGCTGGCGTATATTAACCCATAACCTGGGGGCAGTCAGTTCTTGTAAGATGACGAATGATAATTTCAGATTCCATCCTAAGTAGGATTATATGAGTGAGTGAGTTCAGTTTTTAGCAATATCCCAGCAATATCAGGGTGGGGACACCAGAAATGTGCTTCACACATTGTGCCCATGTGGGGAATCGAACTCTGGACTAGCTAACACCTTAACCACTGGACTCCCCCATCGCCCCTGGATTATATGAAGTTGCTACTATTGGATTCGGAGTATTGCAGGCTGATAAAAGTATCAGTCATAGAAACTCTACAGTCCGTTACAGTCACAGTGTCTCTCCCTGGAAACAGTGACAGGTGCTTGTGTTTGCATGCTCTTATCAGCACACAGGCCTCTGCCATTGCTGTGCTACTTGCCAACATGGTTAAAAAATCTCCAAGACATTTCCTTAACAAACATGGAAAATGCCACAGGCATAAATTGAGACAAATTAGATGCTCGGAAAAAGGTTGTGGATTTAAAGAGATGAACAGACTTGAAAATCATGTACTACTGAAACAGATTTCCTCAGTTGAAGTGAAGCCAAATGGCAGAAAGAATAAACCAACACAGTTAGCTGCCTTCTTTAACTTAATACAATACACTACTGTGCAGTATGCAAAATAGCCACTGGCCTGCTATCCCGTGGCTAGTAAAAATCCAGTCGGGCCAGTTAACCTTAACAGTCACTGGTCCGACTGGTTTATGAATTTTCATGGGGTCATTTTGTAATATATCTTGTTAAGTTATAATATAATACACTTTTAAATCATGCAAGAATATGGCCTGATACAAATCTTCAACATATTAGCAGCTTACTGATGAAACCCGTATCATGCTGACAATATCATACCTGCATGTTTTAAGCATCTGAAAAACCATGGATATGTACGATAAACACTGTTAATTGCAATCCGCACTGAATTTCACTAGTTTACAATGTGATTAACCAGAGCTCAAGAGCGGATTTGTTGATGTGCTATTTTCGATGACGTGAATGTGTGATCACTGGGCAACTTTTTTTTATGGGAGCACGGATTACCCCGCGGGTAACCGAATCCGCGGTATCACGAAGAGCATTATTGCGAGGGATGACTGTATAAGCAATCTTTTGCTTAGTTTCTACATTCAAATTTTGGGTAAGTGAAATATTTTGAGGGCTAGTAACTTTCAGGCATAGATAGCCCGACTGGCTAGCAAAATTTGGAAGCTATTTCGCACACTGCTACTGTGTGTGAGTTAGTGGGCATGTGTGTGAGAGTGCACCTGCGACTGTGTGTGAGAGTGCACCTGAGTGACTGTGTGTGTATTGTTCATGAGTGCATTTGAGATTGGGTTCAGTGGATATAACAAAGTGCAGGTTACCATGATTCATATTTGTAAGTTTGTGACACAACGACATTTCATTGTGAGAAACAGACGCACAAATAGAAAGTTTCTTTCACGGTTGCTTAACACAGAATACAGGATGCAGAATGCAGTGGTGATGCGTTTGATTCAGTGGCTGAGTTTACTTACTCACAAGCAATCCCAGCTTCAACAATAATTCTACTATGAAATACTTGGAAAATACTCACAACTGATTTGCCGTTCTGAATTATCAAAACACAATAACCACCTGATTGAAACAGCGGTCACTCCGCAGCAAGCATTTACAGATATCACTCTGATAGGCTTACATTAACAGAAAGTACACTACAGATATTCACATTATGTGATCTCAGGCAAACATGATAGTAGTTGATGAGTGAGTGAGTTTGACGGTTTCATAGAGTCAACAATGACATCATATTTCTTGCACAAAAGTGCAAATCTTTTTTGTCAGTGTTTCTGGAATTGGAGTCAACACTCCATACAAGACAATGGACTAAACCCTCCTTTCAACATACCTGCTAACCTGAAAGTCTGTTATCTTTAACATAAGTTATAATATAACATATACAACTATAACTTAGAAAGAAAATACTACATGGCATTTCATCATTCTGTAATAAAAACTACATTTATCTACATTATTTCCTATCCAAAAAAATAATTCCATTTTCAAAACATAACATTATTCCTGAAATCCATGTAGTGAGGAGTTTCTCCAGACCAACACAATGATACCGGAATCTCTATGGAAGGGAAATAACTCCTGTACTGTACAAGTGCACTTTATAAGACTTGGGGTCAATACTGAAGAATCTTTTATCTTTTGATTAGTTTTAAGGCTAACATCATGCTTTTGTGCATTATAAATTTTCTTTTATAATTTGATAATAATAACAATGAAAACATACATAAAGCTTACACAACTAGAACATTTACTAAAATATTACTGCAAAGTGAAACACTCATAAAATCTCTATATATTCTCCCTACATTACAATGTTTTTTAGATGTTACCATAAGCATTAAAAACTAGTTGGGAAGGGACATGCACCCGATTCTTTAATGTTACTTCTCACAAATCATGCTAGTTACAGCACTGTGTCTATTATGACACAATGACTGCACTTCTCTGTTTCTACATTCATTTGTTCTACAATAGACCACAGAAAACTAAAAAAAATCCAAGGACTTGACTTACTCAAGAAACAATTAATAACAACACAGTTTTGTGATGCATGTGTAGTGTGTTTATGACTAGTGTTTGGCAAAACAGTACCATGTATCATGAGACACTGCTGTGTTCAGCTCCATAGTGAAACCGATGCCATATTCAAGTGACCAGCTCATATCCGAAATAGTCCCCTCCACACATGATGTTACTTCACAACATGTTAAATAGTGTGTTGTTATTAACTGGGTGATAACTTCATGGATGAGTAATAACAGATTGCATAATTTCTTTGGGAGGACTCCTCAAAGATCCACACCCGTCATAATTCCTTTGTTTAAACTGCAGGCTTCACCTGTTAGCATTTTAACCCTAACCTACCCATTGTGAAGTAACCTGGCTAGCTATTCTAGAAACGTTCGTAACCCTACAGACTTCTTAAGCCCATTCTTAACACACTGGCTACGATCAAAGTTAAGAATTCTTTGGGCTACGAACGTTTCGAGAATAAGGGCCCTGTTGAAACCAACAGTCAACAACCAGCATTTCTTGTGGCATATGTGCCTCTCAGTCCATACCCTGTACATCACTTGCTTGATAACAATATTAGAACCTACACCGAAAGGTGTTATAGATATGTTATAGATATGTTCATCCATATATTCTTATCCTTCCAACAAGATGCATGTACATGCCAAGTGTACCTGGCTAACTATTCTCTAAACGTTCGTAGCCCTAGGAACTTCTTAAGCCCATTCTTAACACATTGGCTACGATCAAATTTAAGAATTCATAGGGCTATGAACGTTTCAAGAATAAGGGCCCTGGTTCACAGAGTAGATATATTGCACGTCTATTGCCTGATGACGTTGTCAATCACTCATCCACAATACTTGATGTAATAGTCAAATACATGCACAGCACATTCATTCCAATATGTACATCGATAAATGCCATTCCACAAATGGATGACACGAAATTTCAAAGTCCCATTATGGGATTCGAACCACGTACATTCTGATCAGACGCTGGATATCTTGTTCACATGACAAAAAGAGGTAAACCCTGTCACAAAGCTGACAGGGTAAGGATGTCATTTGTGAGATGATCCCACACCCTGTTAATACTCATGTCAAACGAAGACACATCCTGGGAAGTAGCGTAACTGGGAAACATGCTCAACCCGCCATTGGACACCAGTATAGTGGCCTCAACTTTTCGAGTACATTATTGGGATTAAAACCAGGTACCTTATGCAAAACTAACAAGGTAAAGATGTCACCAGAGGGATGACTGCACACCCTGTTGAAACAATCATAACATCCATCTACTGATGTCTGTGAAAGGAAGACCATCAGTGCACATTTAGAGACTAAACAGAAGTACTTACCTGAGTGATACAATCTCTCCTCTCTGAAAGTGATATGCACCGGCTGCCCAGCGGTTGAGGAAGACGTAATCTACAGCTGATCTGCCATCCCCGAGTGGATTCAGTGCCGGCTGCAGGAACAGGTCAAAGAGAGTTACTTTAGTCTGGGTCATCCAGGCAATGTTGCAGTCATGTAGACATATGCAGATGTCACTTACCATGGACGGGAATCACATAATGTAACTTCTTCAGTGGCATTTTAGAAGTTGGGAAGTACAGTATTGACAAAAGTTGTGGATAACAACTTCTTTTATTTACTGTGTGCGACGTTTGGAACAGATTCTCATACCGTTGTCAAGCAAAGACAATTTGCTTGACAACGGTACAAGAATCTGTACAGAAACATCACACTCATGAAGCAAGAGAAGTTATAAAGTTTGTCTATATTCACATAATATAGTCTTGTTCAGAAGTATTCCTCGACTCGCTCAATGATGGGTGCACACAAGTGTACAGAATCAATGGACAAAACAGAATATGTGGTATTCCAAGGGAGACATAATGACTGACGAAGGTCTTGACAAGACATATTAAGTCCTGTAATTATAGTAATAATCATCACATTTGTTCCAAATGTTGTGGAGATGTTTACCATACACTACTGGGGGTATTGTGGACACACAGATTTATGATAATGAAAATAGGCATGCTCATAGCGTTAAAGTGAAGTGAAAAGTATACTTAGCCAAAGTAAAACCCTGGGTGAACGTAGAGAGCAATTTGACAAATTACAGTTTGGACAAGCAAGTGGATCTTTGGTGGGCCTAGGTCGCATGGATATTGGGTAGGACAAAAGTAACAACTGGACTGTTGGGGCGGATACAGCTTTTTGAGAAAGGGGGTGTGCACACTTCATTTTCACGCGTTTTCACGGGTCATTTAAAAGTGGGAGTGTGCACCCGTGTAAACCCACCCCCTGGATCCGCCTAAGACTGTCTGTACCAGTGGTCAGCCAAGTGATATACAGTTCAGCGAAAGCTTGATACTTCTCCCTTCGTTGTAATTCAGTGTATGGACAACTGACGGTATTACTGTTGCAATCATAAAACAAATTGTCCATGTTTACACAAAAAACTGAGACGTTTGCATTCAGTCATTTATTTCTGATAATGCAGAGAATCCTTCTCACTGGTATATGAATGAATAAGGGAGAAGGATTAGTCAACTGTAATGTGGACGTGAGATGAGACTAACCCCTCAAAAATACCAACATTAGACCTTTTATTACACACTAGTTGGCTTAGAAAACAGCAGGTCAATGAATAAAAGTAGAAAATCTAGTAACTAGGATAAAAACACCTGTTTGAAATCAGTTGAGCATCAGTCGTGTTACACTGGTGGCTTATCTCTAGTATATCAGAAGGCATTATACATACAGAGATATTACTTTGCAACGATATCGAGTTAAAGCATTGAATCAACAGAAAGTGATGAAACACTAGTTATCTGAAAGATATTTTTAAGTTTTAGATCTATTCAAAAGGCACATGACTCCGACATTAGTAATATATTCTGGTTACCTGCATAGACACTCCCTCCACTTTGACCACACACCCCACTAGGTCTATGAATGAAACTGTAACCGGAACGGCAAATGTCACTGTCCCAAGCAGCAGTCTTCGCAGATTTCTTATCGATCTGATCTGGAAGAAAGAGGTGTATTTCATTGTATGAGAAACAATGCTGCTGTACGGTAGCAAAGATTTCTAACAGTGAAGGTATCTGTAGCTTCAAGAAAACCAGTGGTTGATACCATGAGCACTGTCTTACTGCTGATTGTGCATACAACATGTCATCAACCAAATCACAAACACTGATCTTCCGATATATATAGTTAGGGCTGCGCAATATTACCGGTTTACCGGTATATACCGGTTCAGACATAAAAACGATATGTATTGCGATACGTTGATCGAAAACCAGTATTTTGACATGCATTCGGAAAACTTGGTAATACTCGGGATCTTCGGATATTTCCGTTTTTTTACACCGGAAGCCATGCGTGTGTTGTAAAATGGTGACCCCATCAAGGAACAATTTATTGTGGTGCCAAATACTAGGGCAAAGGCATCGGTAAGGCAGCATTTTGGGTTGAAAAGTTCACGGTAGATGGAACTATTGGTAAGAGTAACGCGGTATGTAGTATATGCAATGGTAAAGTAGTTTTTATTAAGCTTAATCAAGCATAGTGATTTTGTTGTGTTTTTGCTTTATAAATCAAGCATTAACGTCCTGCAATATATTGCAATACATGCTTTCGCATCGCAATATATGGCAATATGAAAATTTGCAATACCCACCCCTATATATAGTCATCTCTTACAATATGCAAGATCCAGGTTAGAATGAGGTCTTCCGAAACACATGCTTGTTGTAAGAGTTGAGGTGGTCAGGCTCACTGACCTGGTTAATGTATGTCATTGTATTCCGAATGCGTAGTTCACCAGATTGACTGGTCCAGGCCGATTATTATAGACCACCTTCAGACAACTGGAATATTGCCGAGTCCAGCATTAAACAATGGTGTATGGGGGCCAATATGTCACATTAATCAGTTAGTGTGTTATGATGTTATCAGCGGAATGCTCATCAGTTAAAACACATCAGTTTTATTCTTATAGCAGTGTATGAAAAAAGCCAAACATCCAGCCAGACATCAGGGCTGGTAACATTTTGAAGTTACAAAATGGATTTAACCAGACCAAATATGGTGAATTTACTCAGATGTATGGAAGATACAAATTTTTACCGGACCATCAGGCTGACGAGCTGTAAATTTAGACCATCCGTCAGAAATCTAGACCGTCTCGGGTGGTCGGACGGGCCTTATTTCATACACTGCTTATAGGCGTAAAGTTTCTCCATATAAGGCCTAAGCAAGTCATAAGCTATTATAGACTAACAACTAGTCTCTGAAATGAACATATTTTACTGAAAAAAGTTCATAGTAAAAAAAAATATAATATAATGAAAAGGAGCCCTGAAGCTGAGGAAATCTAGGCTTGCCACATTTTCTAGACTTGTGTGGGCTTTCTTGGATATATTTACTTCAGGGTCTGTACGACAGACTAAAGCTCTTAGTGAGTGACTGAGTGACTGAGTGACTGAGTAGGGCTTCATGCCACTTTGAATCCAGGAATACCAGACCGCATGTCAATCAGCTTGGAAAGCTGAAAGCCATGAAGGTCTCAGACATTTACTACTTCGGTAAAACCAACAAGCACTGGCATGGTGCTGACTAATATAGAAACATAACCCAAGTGAAAGAAAATTAAAATCCACAATCTTTGGTTATGGTGCACAAGGTAGGGAACTCTGCCAGAGTTTATTAATAAAACTTAAATGCAAAACTGTTAAGAAACTGCATGATTTCAGTATGGTTCTACTGTAAAGAGTGATTTTGTTCAGAAGTAAAAAAATGTGTGCAGTGCAATACAATGCTAACTATTCACCTTCTTTTTCCCAACTTAAACATCAAAACAAATCAAGATATTTCCAAAATCTATCTTACAAAACATTTTACTCTATGAATGCAGACATTTGTCATAACGGTACATAAACTGCCCGGTCTATTTACAAACACATTAAGGGCAGTGGGGTAGCCTAAAGGTTAAAACGTTCACCTGCCACACTGAAGACCCAGGTTTGATTTCCATCATGGGTTCAATGTGTAAAGTCATTTCCGGTGTCCCCCACTGTGATACTGCTGGAATATTGCTAAAAGTGGTGTAAAACCATACTCACTTACTCATTACAAAAACATCAGCTAAACAACCTAGCCTCCCATGCATAAAACAGCTGACCTGTGCCTTATTGATAATCTAGTAGTGTTGGGAATTGGTTAAACTCTCATAATTGATCATTTTCATAAAATGGCATGGTGTATTTCTCATAATTGATGATTGGATCATTACAAGCGATCAATCATCGAAAATAACTGGTTAGCATCATTTATCAAATTTTCATGTTATGTTTGTTAATACACAAAAAAATAAAGAAAAAACGTAGTTCTTTGTTGTTGTTTTTGCAAATTGCACAAAATGCATTTGCAAATTTCACATCTTTAAATGACGACTTGTATGTTAGCAACATAAATGTGCTGGAGTTTTTAAGATAAACACAATCATGACTTGGAACGAGCTTGTAGTGCTTATGAAATGTAAATTTAAAGACACAGACAAAAACCAACCTTTGGAAAAATATTGTTAATGAAAGCAAGTGTTCCAAAATTGTTTGTGTTCACTTATGAGAAAACATGTTCAATTGCTTGGTCGTTTAGACACTGCGACCAATCTTTGAGTATTTCAATCAATCAGACCACCACTTTAATGTAGTACATTTCATCTTATCTTACCTCACACATAAATGTCGCTTTCTGATTGGCTGAGCACTCTTCTATTATTTTCAATGTACCCCGCTTACAAGTGAGCAACATTTCAATGTACCCCGCTTTCAATGGCAACTCATTTGGTACTCGGTAGTAGTAATTCTTTATCTCGAATAACATTGAATCACGTATGATGTACGGAAATTACCGATGTTTTGCGAATGCAAATCGAAGGAAGGGAGATAACTCTAAATATGTTTTTTTTGTCAGCAAAATCTAGCGATGGCTACAAAAAGATTTGTACCTGTGCTTCAAACTATTAAAAATTAACATAAAGGTGTTCGGTAAGATTCATTTCATGGTTATTTCCGTGGTCGAGGGTACATCAACCCTTCGGGCTCAGGGAACATAAACAAACATCGAGAGTACATCAACCCCTCCCCCCCTCGTGACCAGTGAACAACTTATAATATCCTTCCTTGTAGTGACAGTGCCTTTATGTGAGAAATTTCTGAAATAACATAAACCAACAGTTTTCACCTACACCTTGCATGAACCTGAATCATGAACTATCTCTTGCTGGCAATTATGTATTTGAAAAACTTGATTCATGGAGGTTTACAAACATGTCTGTAACCTAGATGTGCTCTCATTTGGTGACAAGTACAGAGGTTCCGAGTTCCATCTTAGTGCAGTGAATGAAATAAGCCCGAAACCCAAACTGTTACCTGCCCAAAATGGAGTTAACCAGGCTAGACACCAAGATATGGTGAATTTACTCAGATGTATGGAACATCTAAATTTTTTACCAGACCATGAGGCTGGCTAGCTGTAAATCTAGACTGTCCGTCAGAAATCTAGCCTGTCACGGGCGGTCGGATGGGCCTTATTTCATACACTGCTTAGTGACATATTGTTTTACTTTACATCATACCCGTGAAGATCCGGGTTAGAATATTGATCTTCAGTAACCCATGCTTATCATAAGAGGCGACTAACGGGATCAGGTGGTCAGGCTCGCTGACTTGGTTGACACATGTCATCGGTTCCCAATTGCGCAGATCAATGCTCATGCTGTTGGTCACTGGATTGTCTGGTCCAGGCTCGACTATTTACAGACTGCCGCCATATAGCTGGAATATTGCTGAGTGCGGCGTAAAACTTAACTCACTCACTCACTTTACATCAATCCACACGCATCCTAAAGGTGGAATTATAATGAGTGTTGCATGGATTATGTTAGACTAATGCTTAGTCTCTGAATATGTATACATACTCATGGACATGCATAAGGGAACACATGAAAGTACAAGTGTTCCTTTATTTACTTCCAGAATTTCACTCACAGTGCAATACATACCTTGTGAAGAAACCTGAAAAGAATAAAGGAATACTTGCACTTTCATGTGTTCCCTTATTCGTTTCCATGAGTATATAATCTTAATTGAAAAGGAGCCCTAGCGAGATAGGAGATTCAGAACCTGAACCTGAGGAAATCTAGATTTGCTGCATTTAGGGCTTTAGCACAGTGGAAAGGGTAGTCTGTCTCACAGTCCCTGAACCACATTATTTTCCCTACAGCCTTAGTCTATGGAAAGGGTAGACTAACAACTAGTCTCTGAAATGAACATATTTAACTGGAAAAAGTTCATAGTAAAAAAAAAAATATATAATGAAAAGGAGCCCTGAGACTTTCTTCATTTTCAGAATGAAGCTGAGGAAATCTAGACTTGCCACATTTTCTAGACTTGTGTGGGCTTTCTTGGATATATTTGTTTCAGGGACTGTACGACAGACTATGGAAAGGTCTACTCTGTTGGGAAAATAATGTGGTTCAGGGATAGACAAACTAGGATCATGTTACAAGTCCCTTCTGAGAACAACAGCCTGGCATTAGGGCTGCCACAAATCTACTATCAGGTGAATATAATACATATCCTGAATATTGGGTCTCTAACAGGAATATTGTAACAAATAAAGTAATAATACAGTTGATGTATTATTCAATTAATTCAGTGAAACAATATACAAATAATTATTTCACATGTTTTGACCATGTTGACAGATCATGATAATGACAAGTGACCACATTGCTGTCAAATTACATACTGGCCTGGTCACAATCATATTTCTCAGATATGTTTACATGAGGTGAGGTGAAATGGAGTTTAACGTCGTACCTAAGACTATTTCGCTCATATGACGACCTGCATACGTGTGTATGTGTGGCTGCTTGTACTAGCCAAGACTTAAGCTGGTTTTATAGTGCTAGCTCACTGAGATACCATGCCGCAGTGAAGCATGAATACCCCACTCAGACACATTATACTGACTCCGAGCCGACCAGTCCTTGTACCCATTAATGCCGAGCACCAGGCAGGGACCAACAAGTACTATATTTTAACGTCTTTTGGTATGACGCGACAAGGGATCGAACCCGCGACCTTCCGCTCTCTAGGCGGACGCTCTAACCACTACATCACTGAGGCGGTCTGTTTACATGAATATTAAAAGCATGAAAAGAAGGCTGTATGTACTTTTCCATTTTACTGTTGTGCTGTCTTGATGTTATTTTATTTACTATCAACTTTCCACATGGCATCAGACTTTTTTGCTATGATAAAGGTCCCAAAACCTGTGAATTTTCAGCATATGTTACAGCCTAAATTTTAATTAAGTTTGATAAAGCTGGATTGTTAGGAATAGAAAATACATTATATGTTACTAGTAGTGTTGGGAATTGGTTGAAATCTCACAATTGATGATTGGTTCGAAACCAACGACCAATCATCGAAAAAAATTGGTCAGCATCATTTTTTTGATTTTCCTATTCAGGTTGTAGCTGCAGACAAGTATAAAGAAAAAACATTTGGTTCTCTGGGTTTTTTTGGTTTTATTTAGAAACTGCACAAATTACATTTGCAAATTTCACATCCAGTGGAAAATGATTCAGTTCCAGTGTAACATAAACTTTCCAGATCCTTCAAGAAGTATTCAGTCATGACTTTTCAAAAAGTGAAGTGAGTTTTCTAAGAATTAAACACGTTTTCCGGCCCTGACAACGTCCTAGATATGTTCCATCATCAAGTATTTCAAACTCTATTACAGCGGTTCCAAAATCGTTTGTGTTCGATTATGAGAAAATGTGATCGATTTCTTGGTCGTTTGGCCACTGTGACCAATCTTCGATTATTTCAATTAATCGGAACACCACTAGTTACTAGATTATCATAAAAGAGTGGCAGTTTATCTTTAACTAGGTATTATATATCTTAATGTTGCACCTGAAAAATTGGAAAGTTGGCACTTCATCACAAAGAAACGTATGCTCGTTATATTTCTTGGCATTTTACATTCATTTTTGTGGAGCTCATGTGTCAGTACATTGACTTTAAGTATTGCTGTTCTTTTGTTGTTTTTTCTAACATTTGGACAAGCAACTTTACAACATATGGCATGATTGGTAGGTATAATTTTTATTATGGAAGTAGGTGAGTTTACATTTAATTACCTTGTTTTTAATCATACTGCATCTGTATTCAGAGACAGTGAAAAAGACTGTGTACTTTACAATGTTGTGTCCAACTGAATAGGACACACATTGACACTCATTGTTTCTTAGATAAACTGGGGCAGTGGGGTAGCCTAATGGTTAAAGCATCTGCTCGTCACGCTGAAGTCCCAGGTTTCGATTCCCCACATGGGTACAATGTGTGAAGCCCATGTCTGGTGTCCCCCGCCATGATATTGCTGGAATATTGCTAAAAGCGGCATAAAACCATACTCACTCACTCACTCTTAGATAAACTGCTTATTCAAAGAAACTTTTATGATATCTAAAGTGTTATCAAGTATTTTATAGTGTCCGTAGCCCCTGGAATGTAGACATGTTTGTGGTGATTTTTAGCCAAAACTGGATGAAATACACTTTCACCAGAATACACTTTAACTGCACTTTATTTTTCAACAAAAGTGAAAGAAAAATGTGGCCCGTGATTGTGACCAGGCTGATATGTGTTGGCTATTGTGCCACCTGGCATGGACAGTTTCCATATAGTATATCTTGTTTTGATATATAACACCTAAATTCAAGTAAACACACTCCTATTTAAAACATGTTTTAACATTTTGTAAAGTAGATAACGATCAGATTAAAGACACCTTTGACCCCTCCTGATATTTTTAGTATACACAACATGACAATGGACTGTGCTAAGACCTACTGACACTAGACCCTTGAACATGTCACTTGACATTATTTCAAGTTCAATATATGGTAAATATATGAGCTCATTTGCAAAGATTGTAAAACCAAATAAATGTGGAGATCTCTTCCATGATCCAGTAGATGGAGTGTGTGTTCTGAGAACAGATGCAGGGGCGGATACAGCTTTTTGAGAAAGTGGGGGTGCACACTCTTGAGAAAGAGGGGGTGCGCACTTCATTTTCACCTGTTTTCACGAGAGCTTCAATGATCATTTAAGGACAAAAGGGGGGTGACACCCCTGCACACACACACACACACACCCTGGATCTGCCTAAGAGATGGTTTTGGGTTCAGTTGATACCTAAGAATATTAAATAATGATCTTTGTCATTCTCCTGCTTTGGGGATAAAACAGACAGTGAGTTGAGTTTTACACTGCTTTTAGCAATATTCCAGCAATATCACATCAGGGGACACCAGAAATGGGCTTCACACATGGTAAGCATGTGGAGAATCGAACCCGGCTCTTCAGCGTGACAAGTAGGACTGCAACGATTCACCCAGATCTCAATTCAATTCGATTTTTGATATTGGACCTTAAAATCGATCATTTTCGATTGAATTCTCCATACAAGTAAAACATCAGATTTCATTTAACTCTCTGAGTGTGAAATCCATCGTTAACTTGGCGATGTCTACTTGGTGATGTCTAAATCGAAACTAAGGTTTCAGATTCAATTTTTAATGAATCAAACCGAATTGTTCCAGCCCTAGTGACAAGTGAATGCTTTAACCACTGGGCTACCCTACCTCCCCAGATAAAACAAGTACGGGCAAACTAAGAGTCAGTATACACTGTCTAAGTGAGACATTCTTGTTCATCAACTTGTCAAATGTTAAAGCCAACCTAGAGAGATGTCCCCTTTTGAAGAGTCTTTTAGAATTCAAAGGAGATTTTTTTCATATGTTATCGGGGTAACCTATTGGTTAAAGTGTTTGCTTATCATGCTGACGTCCCAGGATTGAGTTCCCACATTGGTACAATGTGTGAAGCCCATTTCTGGTGTCCACTGCCATGATATTGCTGGAATATTGCTAAAAGAGGCTTAAAACTAAACTCACTCACTCATATGTTAACACTAACTGGGCCTGTAAATATTTCTGATTAAGTTGCTTCAATGAAGAATATATCATTTCCTTATTAAAATATGTAGTTGAAAAACTGCAAAGAGTAACAGTTATACTTACCATGACTATATCAATATGTCTGGATCCAAATTCTGCATGATAATCCAGGATATGTAGTTTGTGATATGAGTCATATATTGTTGGAATCAGTGAACCTGTGAAAATACGAATCACAAAATTACAACATCATGGATTATTTCTTTGAGTGGCATTGTTTAGAAGTTGGAGAGTAATATACAGACAAACTTTATGGATAAACAACTTCTTTATTCGGTAGATGCGACATTTCGATACAGATTCTTGTATCGTTGTGTGGATTGCCACGTCTTGCTTGACAACGATACCAGAATCTGTATCGAAACGTCGCATCTACCGAATAAAGTTGTTTATCCATAAAGTTTGTCTGTATATAACATCATGGATGTACCATGGTACCTGATCTAATTTGTAATACTGACTGACTGAGTTTAGTTTTACGCCGCTTTTAGCAATATTCCAGCAATATCACGGCGGGGGACACCAGAAATGAGCTTAACACATTGTGCCCATGTGGGGAATCGAACCCGGGTCTTCGGCGTGACGAGCCAACGCTTTAACCACTAGGTTACCCCACCGCCCCTAATTTGTAATAAATGATTTGAGTAACAATTATCATAACATAATTAAATGTGTCCTATATCATCATTTCTTATAAGTCAATTCTCAGACTAGATTGCATACTGTGTGTCTCTTCACATGATTAACTAGGTGGGGCATAGCAGCTATCTGTCTTGTAATGAAGTGTTTGTTCAATGTCACATTCAGCAGATCTTCAGCTATATGAATGCAATCCTTCAATAATCATGTCCTGACCAGACAATCCAGTGATTCACATTCATGAACATAGATATACACAACTTGGACACAGTGGCATGTATGAACCAAGTCACATCTGATCCAGTTAGTTGCCTCTTACGACAAGCATGGGTTGCTGAAGACCAATTCTAATCCGGATCTTCACGTGTCCAGTATGTTCAAGGATGATGGCAGTAGTAACCCGGATTATAGATGAAACAACAGCTAGTTGAAGCTACTGTATATACTGTGTTAATGCCCAAATGAATATATAATATAAAACACTGAATTCTTTTAAAACCAAGATCACATAAAACATTCTCAGTAATTTGCTTACTTTTGGAAAAAAAAGACCGTACGTAGTTGTACATACTGATGCTATATGTATCCTTTGGCTGGAAGAAATTAATAGATAGAAATTTCTTAAGTCCTTACTCTCCATTTGACGTAAAGGTTGGCATGCCAGTTATAACTAATGGTGGCCTGTAAATTATCGAGTCAGACAATCCAGTGGTTGAGATATTGAGCAAGATCTACAGACTACACTGTCACAGTTCGATAACAAGCTATCAACCAAGTCCCTAAGTCTGACGCAGTTAAGTCACATGTTCTGACCAGCATAGGATGTTGTGAACCAATGTTTACAAGCAGGGGTACGCTGGTTTCATAACAAATAAAATCGATGCATTTACTCTTCAGTAAATGAGATGTTTATAACATTGTTATGATAAAAAACGATAAATCTCCATATATTTCTTTGGCCAACAGCCACGTGTAACATCTAGTGTTAAATTAAGTGAATGTATGCACAATCATATACTTTCTTGACATGACTTTGACATTGTCTCTGAACGAAATCGTTTTGTAAACCGAAAAAAAAAGGATCCAGTGGATGTATACAGACGTTTCCAAATGACCACCAACATCGTAGTTATTTACAATGATATTGTGTCGATGTATGTCACGTAGTAAAGTGTTATTAACCTTAAATACGTCATGAATGGGATAATTCTTACATTCGTCAGCATCGTGGGACAGCACACCTGTTTGCAGACGAATTTAGAACTCTTTACATGAGGAGTTACAAATATGAAATCTTACAAAAGTGAAACCGCTGATAAAACGGATTACGGAACTGATTCTTCAGCAACATGAAAATATGGATTATGATTTCCATATTATTGCGTTTATTTACATCATGTTTATTTATGAAGCCACACAATATTTTGAACTCGTAATTATCTCTTATTACGAAATTAAAGGGCCGTGACATGTACATCTGCTCAAAAGCAAATGGGATCAAAATAGTAGTTTCGTCGCCGGTGTATTTCTAATCGACTTCATGTTCAGCAGATATGTTATTTCACTATGTTTACACGAAATGCAGTACACGTGCCTGGTGATCTCAGACATGTCCAGTGCGCGAGAATGTCGTAAATTGATGCACGTGGCATCAATCGCCACGGGTTGGGCAAATCTCCATTGCTTATTATATAAGAATAGGCCACAATATCTGGAACACTTCAGACTAATGTATGTACAAAGAGACCCTGCTGTGCAATAATTACAGACTTCCGATGATCAGCATCACATCGATCGTGGATGAACTCTGACTACACATTAATGCTTACAAACTACAAACAATCAACAATAAACACGGCATCCTCCCAAATAACTACATATACTTGCCCAAATCTTAGTTTATGACAACAGCAGACGTATCGTTTTAGTTTCAATAAAATCAATCAATGGGATCTCGGGTCAATGTATTGTCTGTCTATCACGCGATTTTCTGGTCCAAACACGATCGTATATGCCAACATTTTATGGCAGGAGAACTACTGGTCAGCGTCAAGCCACAATCACAAAAGTTTTAAAGGGTTTTATATCTTTTACGCAAATTGAGTGGTGGGTGCTGCCGGTCGGGTAGGACATGTTCAATCTGACGTTTCAAATAACACATACGTTATCGTTTAATCACCTCAATACATTCATCAGTTCAGTTAGTCTATATCACAGACACTACAGAATAAATCAAATATGAGTTCTTAAGGTTAGAGAGTGGCCTCCGTGGTGAGAGCGTCTACCCCAACAGCGGAAGGTCGCGGGTTCGATCCCCGCGGTCGCGTCATACAAAAAGACGTTAAAATATGGCACTTGTTGGTCCCTGCTTGGCTGGGCTAGTACAAGCAGCCACACATACACATGCATGCATGTGTATGTTGGATGCTGGATGGGTCTTTATCAATAGACATTACTGTGAGGAGACAGGCGGGTAGCAAACACAAAACGTCTAAATATGAATCAAGTGTGTTTTCATAATTATGCGTTCAAAGTTGTAAACATTACCTGTAAATCTAACGTCTGTACGGTTGTTTAGGATGTTTTTTCACAACAAAGTACCAAACTGACCGGCTATAGAAAGTATTCAGCTGAAAACTGAATTACAACAACAGAAAATAGAGACGTTATGAAAATGTTACTAGGCTGGAAACCGTCACCGAAACACATCACACATAAGTGAGTGAGTATGGTTTTACGCCGCTTATAGCAACATTCCAGCAATATCACGGCGGGGGACACCAGAAATGGGCTTCACACATTGTACCACGTGGGGAATCGAACCCGGACATTCGGCGTGACGAGCGAACGCTTTAACCACTTGGCTACCCCACTGCCCCTTATCACACATGAGGCCCATAAGAATACTGCAGTATACCTGTACCAAATAGTGAGTGAGTTGAGTTTTACGCCGCTATTAGCAACATTCCAACAATGTCACGGCGGTGGACACCAGAAATGGACTTCACACATTGTACCCATGTGGGAAATTGAGCCTGGGAGTTCGGCGTGACAAGCGAACGCTTTAACCACTAGGCTACCCCACCGCCCCGTATCAAATACAACAAGTAGATAACTAATTCATGTTTGTATAGCCGCCTTCAAATGTTGGCGTATACCTTCTTCTACCCGGCAGTTTCACTTCAACACATAATGAAAGAAAAACAATATTTTCATGTAGAAATACATTCGCATAAAGTACTTCGATTTCATCACAAATAAGCAGGATCTTTAGTGGAAATGTCAAACTTAAGACTTTGGGGTAAACATTAAGATTGGCCTTGTGATTAAAATGCAATAAGATTTTCTAATTAATAATCATGATAATAGATAAAAACATTTTTTGTAGACAGTTGATTCCGTCTATATCCATGGTTAAGATGAAAACTATCGATTTTTCTTCACATTTCATATATGATTGTTTTCCTAACGATTCAAACAATCAATACAAATGGTAATGGATTGTCTGTACTGTTTTGGAGACCAAAGTATGCATTCGATTAAATTAATTTCGTTTAATCTATTTTTGTTTTTCTTTGAAACATATGTCAATTCTGATTCTTAAAGTTTGTTTACTTTATGAAAAGTTTAACACAGATGAGGTCAAGTTAACTTTGTTTCATGTCGTCCCTTAGGCCTTACATTTAGTCCTAGAAACAGTTATATTACATATATGAATATATACAGAAAACAAATACAAACTTAAAACGCAAAAAGTGTCCAGAAAAATTCTTAATAAGTAATTGTATCATCGTGCAAAGAAATATCATCTATCTGCGAGTCGGAACTATTTTTTTATGGACAGACATCTTCTTATTGCAATCTATGCGACGTTTCACTGTTGATGCTTGAGAACGGTGTCAGCATCTACACCGACACGTCGCAACTATTGCAATAAGAAGATGTCTGGCCATACAAAATTAGTTCCTGTTCATCTGAATGCCACTCAAAGAAGTTATCTGAGAATTAACATTATGTTCATTTTTCTGCACGAGAGTGAGGGCAGATTTAATTTACAATGTAGTTTGAGTCAGGGAAGTGAACACCTCACACACACAACATACGAGTTATGAAATCTAATTATTGACGAATATATTAAAAAAGCACAATTATAACATTTCAGGCTTCTCCCGTTTCAGCATCAACCATGGCCATCCACTCCCACCAGCTCCCGGCGATGTGCATGTCATTGTAAGGAACCGTCAGGTAATCCAGATGTCGCAATGATGCTATCCTATCGTATGTACACAGGTCGAGTTGCTAATTACTTAATAGCTCAATGATAATATCCATTAATGGCGCAAGGTTTGATATATCCGTCCTATGATCTAAGAAGACGATGACGAAAGGTAGAGCACATGGAAAAACAGATGCACCCCCTGCTATTATAGAGAGCAGCACACTGACGACATCGCAGGAGGTCGTTCCAAAGATTGCGATGAACATATCTATCAATAACACCACATGGGGTCATTCGATGGTATAAAACATACCGATATTGAACGAGATGCCATATTCTCTCTTCGCTTTCCTCAGTCAACAATCAACAGCCCGCTCTCTGTTCTGACCTGAAGAAGCAATACAGCACTAGGTCGCTGAGATTATCTCTACAACTTTGGAGTAGAAAGTCTATATCATCTCCGTTTAGTTTTACCCCTCAACAACCACCAAGTAGCCATGGACGCCATCAAGAAGAAGATGCTCTCCATGAAGTCCGACAAGGACAACGCTTTGGAAAATACCGAGATGTTGGAACAGCAACTTAAAGACATCGAACAACAAAAAGCTAAGGTTGAGGAGGACCTCCACGATCTCCAGAAGAAATACTCCAACCTCGAGGTAGACTTTGACAACGTCAACGAACAGCACCAGGAGGCCAATAGCAAACTGGAGACGTCGACCAAGAAAGTCACTGAGATGGAACAAGAGGTCAGTAGCACGTCCTCCAGGGCTACCATGTTGGAGGAAGATCTGGAGAGTTGCGAAGAGAAACTGCAGACAGCTACTATCAAGCTGGAGGAGGCATGCAAAGCTCAGGATGAGACGGAGAGGTCACGCAAGGTCCTGGAGAACAAGAGCACTGCCGACGATGAGAGAATCGACCAGCTAGAAAATCAACTGAAAGATGCTAAGTACATCGCCGAAGAAGCGGAAAGGAAATACGACGAAACAGCCCGTAAGTTAGCAATGACAGATTCCGATCTGGAGCGAGCTGTCACCCGTTTTGAAGCTGCTGAAACCAAAACCATTGAGTTGGATGAAGAGTTGAAGGTTGTTGGAAACAACATGAAGTCCCTTCAGATCAGCGAACAGGAGGCTTGTCAGAGAGAGGAGACATTCGAGGAGACCATTGCAGACCTGACCCAAAGGCTGAAGGATTCGGAGCACCGTGCAGCTGAGGCCGAGAGGACAGTGGCCAAACTCCAAAAGGATATGGACCGTCTGGACGATGAGCTGCTTACAGAGAAGGAGAAGAACAAGTCAATCCATGACGAGTTGGACCAGACATTCGCCGAGCTCGCCGGATACTAACTGTGGTTGTGCACTACAGTCACGAAACATGCCAGTGTCCTTCACATCAGATTTTGTCTGTACTGTCACAAGGAGTAACACATTGACTCTACTTTGTGTTACGCCTGTACTTGTCTGCCCCAGAGTCTGTGATTATTTGCTCGGATACCGCTGGAGGGATGACAGCATTGTGATTGAAACTTTGAGTCTTTCTTTGAATTCAAATGAATCAATTTACCTCTGATTGTTGTAAATAGCCAAAACTGTATCAAATCATTACAACTATTTAATATTTATACAATACGTCAACAGACATGCATCTGTTCATTTGTGAATAAAATCTGCAAATTCATAACAAAGTTTGGTCATATTTTGCATTCCAGTATGCAACCCAGATGTTTTCAGATACACATGGACGACACAGAATAACCACTTAAAACAGATTCCACTGTGCGGGATAGGTAAATTAGTGGTGAAAATGATATGAATTTCCTCTGAAAAGCACTAAGGACACCATGGTTCGTGACAGGTGTAAGCCTGCCTTGCCCTACCGGTAGCACTGATAACTTCATTACTGGTTTCTGACAGTTACAAAGAGCCAAGTTTACACAGAAATAGTGAACACAGTCATACATGCTTTATCTTTTCATGAATCATGTATGAAACATCCAGGCCTTTTATCACAATGGTCGTCAGCTTTCAGAATTTGATAAAGGGTAGATAAGTTATCTAAGAAATATATAAACCAAACATTAATACAAGGACAAACATTTTTACACCAATGGTAGCTCTTCGAAGTTATCTTGAAACAACATTTGCAGAGATTCTTTTTCACAGATTTCAAATACAGTAGTGTCATATGGCACTTGCTCGAAAGGTGTTAGATCCAGGTAATATCGTTCAAGGCCTCAGAATTTCTCTCAAAAGGTTTCAAGGGTATGCATTTCAACACATTTGATATATCAGCGACAAAGTGATGTCGATGCAATTTCCAATTTGGACCTGTATGTTATGTTTTGTATCATAGCGTCAATTGTTGACAATTTACTTGGCCTTGCATGTGTTTGTGATGGGTTCCACTTGGTATCCTCATTATTTGATAGTAATTCATAAATACAGTGCTTTCCTGGTCCTATTTTCCCGTTGTATTTTTCAACAGTTTTATAACTATAAATCTCTGTAAATATTTCTATATTTTTCGATAGGCGCTTATCAGAGTTATAAACAGAGCCATAAGAAATATTAGGCGAAATCTTTTAATCAAATATTTTAGCAATAGCTTAATTTGGGAGAGTTTGGGTTTTTTCTTTGAGAAGAGAGGCTTTATAAAATCATTTCTCTGTGTTTTTAGGTGATCATTATTTTTAGATACTACTATTTTTGTCTACACCAAGCGCCAGTCCACATTTGGCGCATCATGATCCCAAAACATGTACATGTATTTGATTACACTATCTCCAAAGAAAGTGACATAATAAATGAATAATCATAACATGATTTCATCTTTGGCTTTCACAAAAAACAACTCTTGATCAAAGTATTTTCATATCATGAAGAGATTCATGAATAAAAATGATAAAAAGAACTGGACTAAATATGCTGCCTTGTCTAACAACCTTCTGTGTCAAGAAGTTTGCATATTTCCCCCTCTCCCTTATGTTTTGACATTTCCATGCTTATTCTGAAGTAGATTACACTTTTACAATGAAACCTACAATGAGTAGGACATAGTGAGGGGCAAAAGAAAGTATACCGAAATTGTCTATGTAATTAAAAGTTTGTAAAAGGTGATTTATGACTGGGAAATTTGTATAAACTTTAACTGGTTCAGTGATGAATAAAGAATGAGTTGAATTTGCAACCATATGACCCGTACCATATGTTTGAAATTTCACAAAATAAAGCAAATGTAGCCATTTTCAAAGATGAGATGTCTAAGATACCCATCAACGGTTGTGTTTAATGAGAATCCTTTTTTTCTAAATAAAATCATTATGAAACGAAAAAAACAAAACAATGAAGACATACATTTTGAGCGTTGACGAAACGCTTGCACAGTGACTTTCATATAATATCGCTAACTTTATATTGTCAGTTGTAAAACAAACATTGAAAAAAGGGCATAGTTTCTTTATCTTCGCAGTATTTCTTCCATATAATCGAAGGCATACTTAGAATAAATAAAACAAAAATAGAACGTATGGCAGAGGTTTTAAGATATTTGACAAAGAGGTTGTTGAATGAAAATTTGATAAGTTGTCAAGAACAATCAAAGACGGTTGTGTCGAACTGTGATGTGTCGAAATTACGGATGTCTAAAGTAAATTTTTGCTTGGTCCCTAGCATCAAGTAACACGGTCGAGCATCAAGTAACACGAATCATTTACGTAGGTCCCTACAACTTCGCCACAACCGTGGTTGACTGTAATTATTTTTAAATCCAGGTTGAGATTCATGTATCCTTGACTTCCTATTCTCTCTTCTAGAATTGATTTGTGAAAATTTTACTAATAATTGAGAGCGAAAATCCTCTATAAACGTGATTCTATATACTGGGGGATAATCAATGCTTGTGTCAGCCTTATGGAAACTAACCAAGATCAACCCGTGAAAGTCCGGGTTAGAATTGATCTTCAGTAACCCATGCGTGTCGTAAGAGGTGACTAACGGGATCGGGTGGTCAGGCTCGCTGACTTGGTTGACACATGTCATCGGTTCCCAATTGTGTAGATCGATGTTCATGCTGTTGATCACTGGATTGTTTGGTCCAGACTCGATTATTTACAGACCGCCGCCCATATAGCTGGAATATTGCTGAGTGTGACGTAAAACTAAACTCACTCACTCACCAAGATCAACTGCAGGGTTAAGGAACATATTCAAACATAGTTCATAAGTTCCTGGCACTTTTATAAACATCAGGGGGCGCATCGCCTTTACCGAGTACTTTGTTAGTCTTCAATCTTTTAATAATCTCTTTAATCTCTTATTTCATCATCAGTAGTAGTTGCAAGATACCGTATCTGTAATTTGACACACTCACTATGTCGTAATCATTTTTCACAAAGGAGTCTTTGATATTCTAATCACATAAAATATGCGGTTCAGAGGTTTGGACATAAACATATTAAAATAATAATTGTCTTCCTTATGATTCAACAGATAAAAACAAATAATTATGGACTGTTTATAGTATGGTGTATAAGTCATATTTCACTTGATTAGATTAAGTTTAAGATGTCTTTGTTATTTGAGGTGAACCGGGTTCTAATTTCGCCGCCGATCGGCCTCTCACCGGAAGGACGCTCCACCCACTAGACCACGAAGCGATCTTAAGGGTGGTTTAGCCGTGGTGAAGAAAAAATACTGATTTGTGAATTTTTCAGAATATGTGGGAATCATATTGAAGTTGAATGCCAGATGCATCAAATTCACCTATGAAAATATATCAAAATATCAAGAACATCTACAAATGCAAAACTGTAACTGATTACCAATGAATATATGAATAAGGAACGTGATAACATTACAGGCTTCTCCTATTTCAGCTCCAGCCCCAGGGGATGCACGCAAACCCCACCCCATCCCTCACACCCACCATGAAGATGAAATCCATCCAATCCAGATGTCGTAAGATGTTACTGTCTATGTACACAGGTGGAGACGACCATTACTAATAATCTCAATTAAGGGGCAACATGATGCAAGATTTCTCTAATGTAATATCCAACCCACGATAAGACACAATAAGACATTATTTGTTAAAATACGTTTAATGAAGAATATGTAGGTTAATAGACAGCTACAATGTACACGCGAAATGCCCATTCACCACAGGGTTAGATTAAAGTATGCCTAAATTAACAATACATGTATATTATTGTGATTTACTGGTGAAAACCGTACATAGGAAAACAAATGATAATGACAGGGATATATCGTTAATATCGTTATTGGAAAAAGATATTAAAGGTAGATCATCTAATCACTCGATTTTGGTAACTTAGCTTTTGTTTATGGCATAATGCTATAATTCTATCTTTCCTGTTCTATATAATGAATTAAATGGTGCTTTTCATCATCTGTTCACGTGCATGCTGATCAGAATCTTTGATGGAATGGTGTTGGGTGTTTTGTACGTCCATCTAGCCTTTAGTTATTTTAAGTTAATCTTAAGTCTCAACCTAATAAAACATTTAGATGTAGCAATGCTGTGCTTCTCCGGGAGCAAATGACGTTCATAAAGTCAGCGAATGATCTAATGACTAACGACTTAAATTCAGTAAAGCCTTTTGACAAATGATATTGTCCGAGGCCGTAATATCTATTTATCATGTTTACCACTGTAAGAAGAGGAGACAAATGGAGCCGGCATTACACGCCTAGTGATGTGTCGTTTTATGTATCCATAACAATGATTTGAGATCGTGTAGTTATTAAACCATTTTACCTAAAATTAATGTGTAGTCTAAGATCATTTATAAATATAATGAAATGCGTGGGAGACAGAACATATCCTTGTCTCACACAGTATCATATGTGAATGTTTGTTTTAGGTGCATTATATAATGGTTTTCCACCTTTTCAAGGCATTATAGTACTTGACGATAACATATTGGAGACGGCATAAATGTGTGCTCCACAAGAACTGTTGAAGAATTTGGTGTTCAAATTAATATAAACCTATTAGGGCTCAGGGCGTTATTTGTAAATTATTCACTATCAGTGTCAAATCTTCTTGTAGGCTTGCATTTCATCAACTATTCATCGCCAAATACAGACAACACACATAAATACGCACGCACGCACATACACACATAGACATACACACATACATGATTGACCTACATCAGTAGGAAGGTAATAGATAACAATACATTGCCTCTTTTCATCAGTTGATGCTCCACGGTGCTTGAAATCCCCTCGTAAGGTTATATCCCCAAGTTATGAATATTGAATTATTTCCATTAGAATACTTTCTGCTGTAAGACGACGAACACGGTCAGAGCACATGTTCGGACAGATGGACCCCCTGCCAGTACAAAGCGAGGAACCGTGGCGCCG